TACAGCACATTTAGCACATTTAGCACATTCCCCCCCGTCCTGTGCGAGGCACTCACTCACGGCTGTTAACGGGATGCCTTGTATGCAAGTATGCAAGTATGCAAGTAAAGATAAAGTTTATGAGCTGAAAAAGAACAGCTAGTTTACACTGCCCGTGTCTGCATGGTGGACCGTCTTGATTTTTATTTCAGCACCCATGTCTTACGCTCGTCTCACTACAGAGTCGAGGTCTCTAGCGATATGGTATTTTAAATGAAATGATAGGAACGTTTAGATTTTTCATGGACATTATACAGGGAAAAGTGCAGGGAAAATACAGGTCTGGCAGCAGCAGCTCTGCAGCTGACACACAGCTGATGCGCTTTCAGTGTGAACACTGTGTGCGTGGGAGAGGCAACCATCACACACCGGAGATGCCACACGTTGCTCATGTGGCCTATGTGAACGATGGGAAAGCGAGAATTTCAATTATCCTGGAAACAGGAGTTTATTTGGGTGGTGTTAGAAGATGTGGGTGAAAATCCAACTATGTGCCACAGATTTGAGGGCAAGGTGGATGAAACAGGGCCGTGTTTCAAAGGCAAGTCTTGAACATAGCCTTTGCTTAATAAACAGACTGGACATGGAGAAACAAATAGCCCGGGTCTATCCAGGGTTTAAAAAATGTGTCTACCAGTACCTCAAATTTTTTGTCATTAACACATTTTAACACGTTTTAAACCAAACAGAAACAGAAACAAAAAAACAAGTTGTGGTTTACAGGTAGTTCTGCACTGCTTGCAATCTTTATGCTAAGCTAAGCTAATCTCCTGCTGGCTCTAGCTTTATCTTTACAGTATATGCCAAACTAGTCATTTAATGATTTTTGCATCCAGTGAAATTGGACTGGACTCAACACATCTCACTATGCTGACTAATTCTAACATAATTAACACAGAAGATGAGATAGAATGACTTGTTTATATATTATATGAAGTAAAACGTGCCAAAGAGTCCGCTGATACATTAAAAAAGTATTTGTATGGGAATACATGGTGGATTTTAACATCTGACAACAGGCAACATGTGAAACAGATGTTTCAAAAAAAACAGCTGGCATCAAATCCAAAGCACAAAATTCCTTCTTTTCCTTCTCACTCTCAATCTGTAACAAAGGTGAGACTTTATGACCACCATCTGATTCAAATTGGTTTTTATTGATTCATCTCAACTTCTTTTCAAATGTGATTGAGCTGTTTAAGGGAATTACCACCTAGTTAAATAGTTTATTTCATCATATCAGTTCCTAATTTTCAGCTGTTATTTCTGTCATAAATAACTTGAAAATGTAAAAAAATGTATATGTCATATGGGTCTTGCCCATGGGCGTAAAAGTGCCCCCTAAAGAGCATCCTCCTCCACAGGTTTCACCAATATGTATGAAAATCAGTAAGCACGTGTATCATCAGACGTACAAAACATCCTCTAGGAGTCATACCCCAAACCCAACAGGAAGTCAGCGTTTTTTTTTTAAACACGTACTTTTACAAACTCCTTGTAGATAATTGTTCAGATCGACTTCAGATTGGGTCAGTGCAATCTAAAGACCTTCACAATTAAATTTTTTAAAAAGATTTTGTGGAAGAGAGTGTCTGTGGTGTGGTGTCGAATTTTAGTGTCCCACCATGAAACAGTAAGTTGAAGTAACTTCACTGTACATTTTATGTACATATTTCATATGATGTAGCATTACGTGTAATTAGTGGCCATTCTCTAGCGCTACCTGTGGTCACAGGAAGTGCTATTTAAATCCTTCGCACATTGTCTGAAACAAAATTCCGAGCCACACAAAAAATGTTGCAGTAAACCCTGGCGCGCGGAACGCAGCATTAAGCACTACCTAACGCTTTAATTTTAACTATAATTCATCTTCTAAATGCAGAGTGTCATTTTTATTTGGAGCTTCAGAAACTTTTCTTGGACAGATAGAGAGATGTACATTTCACTGGGGCTTTTAGAAAAGGGCCGGCCCTGATGCTGCCTAACACAACAACAGAACGGATCCTTTGGCAGAGGAAGCTGAGGAGTTTTACCACTTCCTTTTCCTCCCCCTCCTGGAGATGCTCAAAAGAACCAGACTGATACACAATCTGAATTTGATTAAAGAGATGACCACGTGTGTGTACATGTGTGTTGATGAAACAGTCCTCCTGCTGTGTAATTAGAAATGAACATCCTCGTAATCATCACCAGCCTGCTCATCTGGACGAGCGTGTCCGTATTAAAACAGGTGTGTAAGTGTGTGAGAGAGTAAAGTGCTTGTAATGTTTGGTTTTTATTGAGACTTTTGGCAAATCATAAACAGAGTTACTTGCAATAAATCTTTACACACACACACACACACACACACACACACACACATCTGGCGTCTGGACTCGTTGCTGCATTATTCAGGAACCTTTTACTATGATTTATTCACAGTGTGACTGGAGCTCACTCACTCAGCCCAGCTGGGTATGTGTGTGTGTTTGTGTGTGTATGTAAGAAAGAGAGAGAGTGTAAGAGAAAGGTGCATGAGGCAGAGGCAGGAAACAGAAATGAAGAGTGACAGAGAAAAGAGGAGAAATAAAGAAAGATCAATCTTACTGTAAGTGCATAAGTATATTCCCTGAAATGCTGAACTTTTTCTTTAAAGGTCCAGTGTGTAACATTTAAGATGATCTATTGTCAGAAATGGAATATAATATTCATAGGTATGTTTTCATTTGTGTATAATCACCTGAATATAGTAAT